AAGGAAAATTTGGGGTTTCCTGGGCTCCTCAAATCAAGAGGCTAACCCTGGCTAGGGAGCTGGTTCTAGTCCTGGCTCTAGCATTTCTTAGCCAAATGATTTTGGGCACGTCACTTCCTCTCTGGGCCTTGGTTTCCCCATCTGAAAACAGATCAGGTGGAGCAGGCAATGCAAGAGGTGGTGCTCTGTGGTTCCCTTTGGCCACGTCCCTGTGATGCAGTCTTCTCCAAGCCGCTGTGCTGTGGGTTCCCTCCCCTGCAGTCCCCAGATGCCTCCCCCTGAACAGGCCACATGCTCTCAGGAGGGCGGGAGGTGCAGGTGCCCCCATGTACCCCTGCTTCAGGTTGTCCCTGGGACTTTCGCACAGGGGAGGCAGCTGGGGTGCGGCGGGTAGTGGAAGGAACACTGGACTGTGGCCCAGCCCAACTACTCCACTTGCTCGAGGACAAGAACTTTCTCTTTCTGGGTCTCAGTATCTTCACTGCCAAATGGGGCTAAGAACTTTGGTTTGGCCTTCTTACCTCAGGTCTACTTGGAGCTGAAATACAATTTGGATGTGACCAGCGCTCTGGTCAGGTACGACATCTTGCAAAACACAGGGGCTAAGATTGAGCTAGAGGTGACACCAGCTGCAGAGTAAAATGAAGGCTTGCTGTTGTTCTCAGACCTCATCCCAGGCAGCAGAGCAGGAGTGGGGTACAGCACCTCCTCAAGGTGTGCCCAGTGCTAGGCCAGGCCTGGCCAAGCTTCCCCCACTCCACTGACCCCCGCCCAGTGAGCCTCTGGGCCTGGCATCAGGCCTGAAGTTTTGTTCTTTTCCAGAGCAGCTCCCTTAAGTGACCTAAACACTGACTCAGGCGCTGGAAGTGAAATTTTCCAAAGCACTGAAAACTGAAAGTAAACAGCCGTCTGGTTCTGGCTGGCTGGGTGGGCTTACCAACAGATTGCTGAGGGCTCAGTAGAGCTGCCTGCCTTAGCTCAACTTTCACCCCCTTGGCTGGCTGCCTTCCCCTGGGGCGGCTCCCAGAGAGCTCTCTGAAGGCCGGGAGTAGGACTTGGTGCTAAAGAGAGCAGCAAACTCAGCAGCTGCAGCTAAGAGCAGGGGGAAAGTGAGGACAAGACACAGACCAGAGGCCCAGCCCTGAGAGGCAGGTTCTGTATCTGACCCACCAGCCCAGACGCAGCACGGCTGGGGCCCACACTCCTAGCTCACACTCCATTCCTTCAGTAGAGCGCTGGTCACGTGGGTCTCACCATCTACAGGCTCCCTGTTGCTCACCGTCTAATGCCTCCCTCTCCTCCCTCCGAGAAGCCTTCCCTGACAACAGGCCCATTCCACAGGGCCTAGGGTTACTCTCTCACCCTGGGCCTGTCTCACCATCTACACAGTGAAGAGGCCTCACTAGATCAAGACTCCTCAACCTTTTGAACCCATCCCCTGCCAGTGAGAGAGCTCGAAAGTCCGGATTCCTGAGAGTGAAGGGTTAAAGTGACCCTCCCAGAGCTCCTGGCTCTTCCCAAACTCTGGCCTCAGAGGCTTTGCTTCGGCAACTTGAGCCTGGCACCTACCCAGCAGACCTACAGGCCCTTTTCCTCGAGGTACCTGCCATGTTGCATCCTGGACCAGGGTGGGCACCGGCCAATTCTGGCTGTTTCCCTAGTCTTCTGTACTTCCTTGGCCAGGGAGCTCAGCTCCTTCCCAAGCATTTTGTGGCCTTTATCAGAAACCCTTTAACCTTTAGTTTCCTCTTGGGGCTCTGCAGAGGGCTAGGGTGTTGGTAGCTCAAACAAATGAGACAATAGGTCGCGGCCTCCTGCCCTAGGCGGGGCAGCTCAGCCATCGGGCCTGGACCACAGGCTTAGGAGCACCAGGGTTAGGAAGTTCCCTTGGACCGCTGCTGATCTGATCCGGTGATTCTGTGGTGGTTGGGGTTCTCTACCAGGATTGTGTATCTCTTAGATACCTCTGGGTTTGGTGAAGGGAAACCAAGGAATGGAAAAATTCCTCGGAGTCCTGGGAGAAAAGCAGCTGCCTTAAAGTCTTGACTAATAGGTAGGGTAGGCCATGGACTTCTGAGGTGAGGGCTCTAGCACCCTTAGTTGGGGGCGGCATGTGTCCTGGACCTCTAACTCAGGGTCTGAACTGAGCAACAGCTACAGCCCTGAACACTGCTCTCCATATTTCTGGGGTACCCTTCTCAGCACCCTACTTTCAGTGCTACACTCTATCCCTTAGTATTTCTTTCCTACCAGTGTCCCCAAAACATAATAGCATGAGAGAAGACTTTCAATAAAAATGATAAAAAATACATTGTGAACATTCATAGAGTTCTTACCATGTTATGTGCCAAGAACTCATCTAAGTACTTTACATATCTTACTCAGTTAATCCTAACAAACCTGAGGAGGCAGGTACATTTTTCCTGTTTTTCAGATAAAGGAACTGAAGCACAGAACAGTTAGGTAACTTGCCCCTGGTTACACAGCTAGCAAGTGCAAAGCTGAGCTTTACACTTAGGCAGTTGGGATTCAGAGGCCATGCTCCTAACCACGACCTACAACTGCCTGGTAGGAGAGAAGAGCGAAGTAGAGCCACAGATTAAGTCTGTGTTGCCTTCCCAGAGACCACAGAGAGACCTTGCCCAAGACCTCCGAAAGCCAGCAGAAATCAGGTTTGCACTCTCAGCCCCCCGGCTGGCCTAGGGCACCCTGAGTGCCGGTCGTGTCTGAAATGCTGTGGTCTGGCTGCGTGGAGGTGAGAACACAGGGTGGGAGGCAGTGGACAACCTGCCTGGCCTTGTCCCCGACTTCCTGCCTCCTACACTCTTCAAGAACAATAGCTTCTGGCTCCATGCCTGTGGTTAATTCAGGGGCTTCTTCATGATGTGGGCAGAGCCTGGCCTTGAGGCAGGCGGAGGGGCCAAGGCTCAGATGACAGGTTGCTTCTTGCTCTTTGCTTCTGATTCCCAGCTTAGCTTGATTGTTTCTATTCCAGCCTGTCTCTCCTCATCTCTGGCCTTCTCTCTAGCTCATATTGTTTGTTTGTCCCAGATGCCAAATTCTATTGATTCTCTGAGAGATTCATTTTCTCCAAATCCACAGCCTGCAAAGCTTTTCCTTCATCTTTGTTGAATTCTACTCAAGCTACCCCATGTGGTTCTGTCTTCCTTCCCTATACTCATTTTCTTTGCTTTGTTTTACTTGAGTGTTAATATAGGCTAAAGTCATCTGAGGAAGTTAGTGAATGGTGTGGAGGCCAGCGTCTTTCCAAGAACTGTGAGCTCCCAGAAGGCGGGGTCCATGACACCGGATCCAGTTGTTTAGGTATTGCCGGCGCTTGGTAGGAGTTGGTGGACTTACAACATAAAGCTGGCTCCCCTGAGGAGCTGAGCTCCTAAGGGAAATGTCTGTACATTTGACAAAAGATGTACTGGGTTGTCGGAAAAGTCATGACGCATTTTTGCAATGAAAAATAGAAAAAATACGTCATAACTTTTCTGGCAACCAAATATATTTCAAGTTTGAGGCCCCAACTACTTCCTACTTTCTGGCCTGTCTGTCCTTGGGCTCAGCTCTGGCTCTACTAGTCACCAATGGGAAGTAACTAAAGGGTTCTCAGCAGGGAAGTCACATGATTTATTTAACACTGAAGGGCAAAGCGCGGAAGCAGAGAGGCAAGTTAGGAAGCTCCTGCAATAATCTAGGCAAGAGATGACAATGAGTGAGACCAGGGTGGTAATAGCGGGGGTGCTAAAAAGTGGTTGGATTTGGATATATTTCAAAGGTAGAGCTGCTAGAATTTCCTGGTGGATTGGAAACAGAGGCGCCAGGGAGGATCCCAAGGGTTTTGGCCTGAATAACTAAATTAAAAGGATAGAGTGAGTATCTATGGATTGGGATGGGAAAGACTGTGCAACAGATTTGAGGAATAAAATCTGGAGTTGAGTTTGGGACATGTTGAATTTGAGATACCAATTAGATACCCAAGTGGAGATGTTGAGTAGGCAGTTAGACATATGAGCTTGGAGTTACAATGAGCTAAATAACCATATGGAGCCTTCGGCATATAGAGGGGATTTAAAGCCTTGAGATCAGATGTAGTCATCTAGAAAGTGTAAATAGAGAAGTCTAAAGACTACACCCTGGGTCGCGCCTATATTAACAAGTAGGGGAGATGAGGAAGGCCGAGCAGGGGCAGCCAACGAGGGAGGAGGAGAACCAATACAGACTGATGCTTTCGAAAACAAGGGAAGTAAGTGTTTAAAGGAGAGATCAACTATATCACATGTTGCTGAGAGGTCAAATAAATAGGGCACTCAGATAATAATTGGTTTAGGAATATGGAGGTTTCTTGGATTTTGGCAATCTTGAAGAGTCTCTCCCTATTCCAGTGGTAAAGTGGGGTAAAAGTGTGATTATAGCGGGAGATCACATTGCCTGCAGTATGGAGAATGGAGAGTGGTGGGAAAGCGTGGATATGAGTGACACTAGTTAGAAATAGTCATGGGCGAGATGCCTGGGACTAGGTAACAGAATGGTGAGCAGTGAGCGGATTCAAAAGACACATAGGGGTTAGAATTAACAGGCCCTGGTAAGAGACTGGCGGAGAATCGTGGGGGACAAGGGAGTAGGAGGAGGGAAAGATGACACCTCTGCTTCTGGCAGGAATAACTACATGACGGTGGTTGAGTTTACTGAGATAAGAAGCACGGGTGGTAGAGGGACGCAAAGGAAGGTGACAGGCTCAGGTTGTGGATATAGTGAATCGTTTGCAACATCAAAGAAAAGACATCTAGGATACTGGTAGATCCATGTGTGTCTGCAGCATGGGAGAGGAGTGTAGAGAGATGAGAGTCACCAAATCATAAACAGTAACTGAAGTAACTGGGGTGGTTGAGCTTTTCTTAAAGAAGTATCTACAAAAGCAGAGGGAGTAAGCCTGGGGAAAACAACATGTATGCTGCTGCTGTCTCATCTTTTATCTCTTTCCTCCCCTTTAGGGAAGTTGATAAACTAGTTTGCTCATAATGGCTAAGCAAACAGAATCAAAAGTTGCTTTAAATAAAGCCAGGAAGCTGTCCCAGTGAGGAGGTGTTTCATCTAAGATGGAAGAGAAAGCTGAGGCAGCTGAACTTGACTGATTCACAGGTAATTTGAAACTCTGCCACTGGATGGCTGTGCAGCAGTCCCACTAAACCTGCCATCTCAATCCTGCCTTCTTGAAGAGGGGCAGCCGTAAGACAAAACTGTCATGAGGAAGCAGAGCTAAGGGCTGGCCTCTACACCCAATCTCGATATTCTACAGTACAACCACCCTGTGAGGCCTGATAACTCTGCCTGGCATATAAGAAAACAGACTCAAAGATCAGAAGCCTTGAATAATGTCGCAGAGACTTATATCCACTACATGTAGGGATGAAGGGGGAAAAACCTGCTACACAAATGCTTGAAGTGGAGACTCTCTGGGAGCTCCGGGGCCCAGGTGCTTCACTTCAATGTGGAGCGAAGGATGAGGCCTTCCCTTAGATCTTGCGATGAAGCCAGAGCAACTGGGCCAGCACTTACAAGCTCTCTTTTTCAGGGATGGGTCACTTGCCCTGGCCCTGAAGCAGGTCAGCTGCAGTACAGCAGTCCCAGGACACTGGCTGAGAAGAGCCGAGCAGCCTCTCAAATTGCTCCGCTTCAGCCTTCAGGGCCAGGGCTGGCGTTAGGAGGAGGCAGAGTAGATGGAATCTTCAAATGGGGGTACAGGACAGGGTTCCTCCCCCCCCCCCCACACACACACTCACTGTGAGCTGTTGACTGTGCCTGAAACATTACAGAAAATAGAAACTTCCATCAGATGGGAAACCCTACCACCATATCTCGAATCCTGCCTGCTGAGGACTCATCTTCTCCATCTTCTCTACCTTCCCTCATGCTACAGGGAGAGTTTTCTTCTGCCTCTCAAAAGGTTAACACCTCTACACATGCTCTGGACGCCATGCCCTTTGACCCAGGAACTGTTCTTTTTATTCTCTCTCCTGCATCTTCCCCTTTTCCCTTTCTTTACTGGGTCACTGCACTAACATACAGAAAGCTCTAGCTGTTTCCACATTTAAAAACTAACAGCAAAACACCTTCCCTTGATCTCATATGCTACTCTAGCCACTCTCCTATTTCTCTGCTGTACATGCATGGCCAAATTTATGGAAGGAGTTGGTGTCTCCATTTTGTCACCATTTAATCATTCTCAAAATTCTAATTATGTATGATTTTGTGATTTCATTGTGTAATATATCAAAGAATCTATGTAACACGTGAATTATAAAGTGTAATAAAAATCAACATCTATAAGCCCACAACCCAACTTAAGAATTAAAACATTATTCATACTGTTGAATAGACCGATGGGCTCCTCCCCTACCCCATCTCCTGCCTCCACAACTATGAACACTGGAGTCAAACTGCTGAAAGCCAAAGAGAAAATCTTAAAAGCAGCCAGCAGGAAAGGTTACATTACATTCCGGGCAACAACCATATGAATGATGGGTGCTTCTTATTGGAAACGAAGGAAGTCAATAGTGTGGAGTGACAGTTCTAAAATGCTCAAAGAAACAAATAAACAAAATTCAAGTTAGAGTTCTGTATCCAGTGGAAAAAAATCTTTCAAAAATAAAGACAAAATAAAGATATTTTCAGACAATTGAAGCTGAGAACATCAGTTACCAGTAGGTCTGTATTATTTGAAATTCTAAAGAAATTTCCTTTAGAACGTATGAGTCCCCTTAAAGGGAACTGGTCCTAGACTAAAATGAGGATGCAAAGAAGGAATGAATAATACAAGAAATAGTAAACATGTGGGTAAATATAAAAGACAGTCTTTTGTCTTGAATTTTCCCAAGTGAGGCCACTTTTAAGACTTTCAGAATAGAGACCCCTAAACTGAGGTTACGGTGCCCTTGCCCAAATACAATTCACAGTTAAATCTAAGGTAAACCATAAGCATAAGAAAGTTAAGCAAAGTTCTGACTTATCCCATGGAAGCTATTTCAATGCTTTAAAAGATATATAATTCTTAAAATTTTGTCTCTCTTAATTTTGGTGCCTTTACTTGCTGTGCCCTAAACACATACTTGATTTGATTCCTAGGTTATCCAGCATTGGCTGGCAGCCAGCAAAGAGCATAAGACTCAGAAAATACATGGCTACAAACGCACCAGGTTATGAGAGAGCCCATTGCCAGTGAGGATGACCAACCTCTTGAGGTTTCCTGGGATGTGGGACTTTCAATGCCGATAATGGGGCAGTTTTTGGGTGAACTGTGATGGTTGGTTATCCTAACGAGGACCCAGAATGAGCTCCCGAAGACAGAAGTGGCCTTGAGAGCAGCAAACAGTGGTGTTTTACTATGGTCAAAAAAGAAAAACAGCCGGAAAGTGTGAGACTTATCTTCTCAAAACTAGACCTGCCCTTTAACTGAAGTGAAAATTCTTCCTTCTCCCTCCTCCACACGTTGTATCTTAAGTTTAACAGATCAAAGACAGCATGTCCCCTTGGAGGCTGGCACGTTGCGAAGGCGGAAACATGAGGGCAGGAACAGCAATTCTGCTTGGCAGGTCAGGGCTGACAGCTCAAAGTGGCGCACAGACCGCCCTGTGGGGCATGACTCACTGACACTTCACCCACTTGGCTGGGAGGGGAAGAGGGAAAGAGAACTAACAGTATCTGCTTTTTTCCTCTGGGGTAATTCTTGCCATCATCCTATTAGATAAGAATTATATTAGCCTGATGCTATTTATAAGGAACCCGAGACTCAGAAAGGTCAAGTCACGTGCCCAGCATCACTTAGCTACCGAGTAGCAGGTTAAGCATTTCATCGTACTGGCATCTCGCTCCTAGGCTCCTGCTTGTTGCCTGGACATAGCCCTGTGACCCTCATGTATATGCTGATGGGCATGTGTGGGACATGCAAGGGAAGATGCAGGGAGGAAAGATATGAGCCGGTGACCAAAAACCAGAGTAGGAATGAAGGTGACAAAAATGCAGAGCTCCTGAGGGGGACTGGCCTCTCCCCTCCTCCAGGAGAGAATTTACAAATTTAATAGAGATGTGTGAGAACTTAGATTGGTCCATGTGCCAAATAAATGAGAAGTCCTGAAAACGGTGCTGGGGAAGTTGAGGGAGGGTGGGGGAAGGAAAACCAGTGAAAGGCTTAGACATCTGATGGCTTCTCTTTAGGATGATAACCCCAGGCTCTCAGGATACTCCTGGGCTGACCCCATCTGTCATCAAAGTAGGCTCTGGCAAAGCAGAAAAAGTGCTTAAATTTCAAAATGACACCTATTTAAAAGAAGGCAAATGGGCTAGAAAAATATACCGTAAGCCAAGTGTCATGATTTTAGAGTGGTATAATGACAAGCACAGAGTTTGCAGTCATATGTTTACAATCACTTACTAGTTGGGAGACCCTGGGCAAGTGACCTAACCTTTATGTGTCTATATAAAATAGAAATAATAATACCTCATGGGTCAGTATGGGAAGCTCTGAGCCTCAGTTTTCTCATTTATTAAATGGGGGTAACAACAGTACCCATCTCATTGGGTTGTTGGAAGAATTAAATGAGTTTATACATGTAAACACAGAATAATGTCTAGTACATAGTAAGCATTAAATAGCGGTGAGCTATTACCATTAATAATAAACAAACGAATACATTTTGTCCATAGCATGTATTATTCTCTGAAGTTATACTTTTTTTTTTTTTTAAAAGTTCCATGAGGCAGGGGCTCTACGCCTTGTTCACCCCAGGACCTAGAATGGTGCCTGGCACACAATAGTACTTTATGGCTCCCTTCTCCACTACATCACTGCAATTACTCTTCTGAGATCACCAATGAGCATCACGCTGCCAAATCTGAAAGACAACCCATTCTCCATTCAGCACCCTGGGTGAATTCTTTAAAACTGAATTAGATCATACTCCCCTGCTTAACACACTTCAATGGATATCCTTGCATTTAGAATAAAATCTGAACTTGTTTCCATGGTTACGTCCTGTATGTTCTGGCCCTGCTGCCTCATGGTGTCGGTCTCTGTTTCAGTGCCACTGGCTCTGCATTGGTTCCTAGATCATGCCAAGCTCTCAGCCTCAGGACCTTTGCATTCACTCTTCTCTCTTCCTGGACTACTCTCCAAGTTCCTTTCATAGCTGGCTCCTTCTCTATATAGTACAGCAATTAGAAACCCAGGTTGTGAAACCAGACCGCTTGGGTTCCCATTCTGGCTCTACACTTACTACCTGTGTGAAGCAAGTTACTTAACTGCTTTGTGCCTCAGTTTCCTCATCTTAAAATAGGGATAAAAGGGCTGGCTGAGTGGCGCGTTGGTTAAGAGTTGGCTTGGGACACCAGCTCTGAGCAGCAGGGCCAGGGTTTGGATCCCACATGAGGGCCAGTGACACTGCCCTCTACAGCTAAGATGGTGAACAACAGCTCAACCTGGAGCTGGGCTGCCGTGAGTCACTGGTGACAGTGTAGGCTGCAGCCCCTGCTGCAGTGGGCTGCTGTGAGCTACCCAAGTGGCTGGCAGCCAGTGTGAGCGGCTGGCAGCCGGCGTGAGCTGCCGTGAGCTGCTGTCCAATGGCCTGTGAGCGACTGCCTCACCTGGGGAAGAGCGCAATGATAATACCAACATGGGCCAGTGAAGCGACGTCCTACACAACTAGACTGAAGCACAAAAGGATAGCAACTTGTCTGTTCCCCTTCCCCGATTCCCCAACACTGTTCCCCTCCCCCAATTCCCCAATAAAATCTTAAAAAAAATAATTAAAATAGGGATACAGGTGTGTACCTCATCAAGTTGCTGAATTATGTGAGCTAATATATAAAGTGCTTTGAACAGTGCCTGGTACCTGGCAAGCACCACCACAACCGTCTTTCAGCTTAAACACGGCCTATTCAGAGAGGCCCTGTTCTTCCTCAGAGCACCCAGTATTCACCCTAATTTGTAAATATTTTTTGTTTATCCAGCACAATGCCTGATACAGGGTAGCTACTCAATAATACAGTTGGAATAGTTAGAAAAGTTATTTTCTTACTACCTGCTAGAAAGGTCAGGTACTGTGCCAAGGCAGAAAAGAGGAGAGCTGGGATTTGTACCAGGGCTCTAACCACCTAACTCGGCTGAATGGTGACTAGTCATGAGGTGTTCTGTAAACAAGCAGATACTGGTCTCCTCATTCAGCTTTTATTCATCTGTCGGGTCTCCATCACGCACACTCCCCTTTGCCTAGATGGAGCTCCCACAGCACTCTGCATGCATTTCTTAGCTGAGTCCTGCCTTTATGCTTCTGCGCTCTCTCTCCCAATGTCGTCTTAGCTGAGGACGCCCTGCCCTTAACACATTTTCTCTTCTTCCGTTTTCCTGAGCTCCTTGCCTACTGTTGGACCCACAGGATATGCTCAGTATGAGCTTGGAGAGTGATCACGGCCACTGCTTTTTCAGGAAGGTGGCCTGGGGCAGCTCTGCATTCTATACACTTTCATGGGAGAGACGGTGACTCTACAGGAGGGAGGTCGGCCAGCTGTCCTCTTACCTGATCTGTTGTGGCTGGTGGTGGCAAAGCTGATGAGAGGGAGAGCATCCGCAGGGAGGCCTCCAACTGCTGGGGAGGTAAAAAGAAGTTGGGCACAATGGGCTCTGGGCTGCAACGCCGTTAAGGGACACAAACACCTAGAAATCGTCCCCTTTGGCAGACAGCATCTTCCCTGACCTTAATCACCCCCATTCACTTTTTCTCCCGACTGGTTCTGCCTGTGCATCCTTTGCTCAAGTGGTTCCCTCTGCCTGGAAAGCCCTCCTCATTCCTAACAAATCATAGTCTATGCTTCTTTATGGGTCTGTTCAAATGCTGCCTCCTCCAGGAAGCTTTCTCCTAATCCTTGCCCACAGTGATCCCTCCTTCTTACTAGTCCAGAGCAGAGTCTGCAACACAAGATAATCCTTGATGATTTAGTTTGATGAGTCTCAGGTGTTTCAACATTCCCTATGCTTCTCAAAGGCAGGGATGCTGTAGTTCCCTTCTGTTACCTCACTACTTCCCCGGAGCTCCACATGAGGCTGGTAGGTAGCAAGCACTGAATGATACTTGCTGAGGGCTTGCTGGCCACTAACTGACCTGTCAGCAGTCAGTCAGACTGGGAAGGTGGCTCCAGGGGCAGTGTCTTAGATTGGTGGGAGGTGCCTGGCCCTGAAGGAGGGTCTGTCCTCCTGGTTGTTCTCTGAAAGGAGGGCTCTGCCTAAGTGGGCACAGCTGGTCCACCCTGTCTGGCCCTTGGAGGCAGGTATTAGACCTTGTACCTCTCCTCCATAGCCTATGGGGGCATCAGGATTGTGCTGAGAACATGGTGTTCCATGAATATTTGTTCAATCAAAGCAGATTCAGCTTGGGAAGGGAGGGAGGGGGCTATTTTGATGTTCTAATTTTTTTGTTTCTGTTCAATAAAGTATGGTTCTGATTCAAATTGGTTTATCATCGTTCTTCCATGCTAGACTTTGAACTCCAAGAGGACAGAGATAATCTTTCGTAGCCATACTCCTGTTACCTGGGACACAGTACGTGGTCAATACTGAATGAATGAAACGCATCATTTCCTGCTTTGGTTCAAGTTCCTGCCTCTTCTTCTGAGGCCCTGGTGACATAGGGCCTATTTGCTGTTGCTGCTCTGACTTCTGGGGACTCTGTCAAACAATCAGCTGATGCTGTGGGGAAGGAACAGCTTTCTGTGGTGTCAGGGGTGTGTGTGAAACACCAAAGCTCCCCCTCTCAGCCCATCACCTCCTGCCTTTCTAAGCGTCCTGCTCCAACAGTAACCTCCCACTTAATAATAGTACCTTTTGTTTTGAGGATTAAGAGTTTACACAGGCGAAGTGCTTAGAATGATGCCTGACACACAGCAAGCATTCAATAAATGTCAGCTGTTCTTGTTTCTGGTTAATGGGAACAGTTGCTTGTTCTCACTGTCCTTACACTGGTTCCCTCACCCACCAGTTTGCCTTCCATTCCCCTCTTTGCACTGTCCCCCTTAATGCTAAAGCCAGTGAGTCCAGGTCAGTCCATGTTCTACTGGGCCGGTCTTAGGCGTCAGTGCTGACCGCTGCTCCCTTACTGCTCCCACACCGCCTCCCGGCTCCTCTCTGGGTGTCTGTCCTGCCTGCCCTTTACATACTGGTGATCCTCAGGCCTGTCCTGTGTGTTTCCTGGACATAGCCCCTTCCTCGCTCTCCCTGCTGCCCTATCTATTTCCAGATGCCTACCTTCATGGCTGATCTCATCCTGAACTCCAGGCCCAGATGTTTTACAGGCACATGTGCCAAACAGAAATCTGTTCTTCCCCCCAAACTATCTTTATGTGCTGTTCCCTTTCTAGTACATGACAACACTACCCAGTAACTTGTGACAGAAATCTCTAAGTCATACTTTGTTTCCCTTTGCCATGCACTGCCCCTTCCTATCTAATCCTCTCAAATCTATCCCACTCGTCTTCATCTTAAAGCAATCTATATTTTAGGTCAGACTTTCTTCATCTTTTATTATTATTGCAAGTTTCCCACCTGGTCCCCTTGCTTCTAGTTTCTCCTGATCTAATCCATTTTCTACAGGGAACTGGGTGACTTTTCTAACATGTAAATCTGACCACATCACACTCGTTTACCAGTTAACATCTACTACACACTATGTATTAGGAACTACACTAGGTAGTTTATATCATTAATTTTCATTTTCACAACAACCCCAAGAAAGGTTCTCTTAAAGATAAGGAAGCTGAAGTTTAATTTGCTTGCAAGATAGAGTCCAAGCACCTTAGCCAGGCATAAAAGGCCCCTGAAGATCCAGCCCTGCCTCACCTCTGCCCGTCCCACCAACCCTTGGGCTCTCGCCACAGTGCACTGCTGCCCACAGACCAGGTTCTTTCCCCTGGCTGTGCCTCTGCATACAGTTTGCTTTCTCCTCGCTGTCCACAGAAGACCTATTCATCTTTAAGGTCTGCTCTCATGTCTCTCACTGGGATACCTCCAAGCAGAGTTACAGCAGCTTCCTTCTCTTTCTCCTTAGCATTTGGTCCACGTCTCAGCACTTAGAACAACAGACTGTCATCACCTATCTCCTACCTCATCATGGGAACTTCTCGAGGTCAGGTCTGATTCAAATCTCTATTCTCAGTATGCAGTACTTGTTTTTTCAAATGAATAGTTGGGAAGGTCTGAATTAGGGCCTGTGACTGCTTCTCCACTGACCATACACTCTTGAGCACAGCTAAAATGACCGTAAAGGCAGCAACGTCAGAAGCCAGGCTGAGCGAGGCCAGGACAGACCTCCACTGAGGCAGCCTGCCGTCAGTGCTCAGCTTCCCGTCACTCCACGCTCTGAAGCCTTCCTTGAGCCCCCACTCCCGACCCTTCGGTTTCTCTGTCCTGCATCAAGGATCACATCTGTGTGGTGTGTGCAAACGTTTCCACTCATGTGATTTTCTCAAGAATCCTGAGAACCTATGATAGTTCAGTTCAATCTGTATTTACTGATCTCTTCTCTGTGCAATGTCTGTCTGGTGCTGGGAACACAAAAAAAGGTAAGGTCCCTGACCTAGCTGGAGAGTATTTAGTCTGGTGGGTAAGGGCTTACTGCCTCCATCTAACAGGTGAAGAAACTGAGGCTCATGTGCCTGAAGTCATAAGGAACTGGGTCTGCAAGGGCTGAAGTCACGGCCCCTGCCTTGCAGTACAGAAATACCTCTACTCAGTAAAGCAGCCTGCTTCGCCTTCCAGCCATGCAATAACCCCTGCTTGTTGTCGGGATACTACTGTATAATAGGTGAGCTGATGTGACTGATCTCAGCAAATGGTTAGGCTGCACATATGAGGGCTGTTGATGGTCCAAGTGGTTTCCTTTCCCTGTAACATGTCCATCTGGATTTCAAAGAACGAAGAGGGGGATTGTCAGGTGCCCCTTCTCGCCATCAACACTGCCATACTGGGGAGGTTTGGGCAAGTCCATTTCAATTGTGCCCACCTTCACTCCCCTTGGCTCCATCACTTGCTTTTATTAATATTAATTAATATTAATATTAGACATTATTATTAATGTCTATAAAATTAATATTAGACAAGTCACTATAACTGAGCCTGTCTCCTTAAATGCAAAATAGAAATGATGATACTGATCTGAAAGGTCTGTGATTAAATGAAAAATGTATGTAAAGTACCTGACACACGGTAAATGCTCACTCAGTGGTAGTATTCTTCTTTCCCCTTACTGCACCCTCCATTTCTATTTCAACTGAGATTAATGGTCTCATTCCTTAGAGCCAGAACCTTGCCTACACGTGTAAAATACCCAGCAGATTAATCAGATAAATCCTAATAAATGTGTTCCCAACACCTAAACCTGGTTCAGAGCATTATGCTTCAGACGGCTGGTGTTAATGGGAGAGTCGGCGCACCCTGTCAGTGCAGATGTCTTCTGAAGGGTCTCCCCACACCCCTGAGTGCATTCCACAAGGGTGGCAGCCTCTGCTCATGCTCACACTAGGCCGGCCTATGCACCAGCACTCAAAATGCGCTGAGATGGCCTAAGGGGCTACATGTGGGAACATCAAAGGATACAGGAGGTGGCTCTGCTTTGTGGAAGCTTCTGATCCAGATGTCGCCTGCTTCTGCCTGATGTCAGAGCAGTTCATAGGTGGCCTCTTATGGTTTTCCCTTTTGGTCTGAGAGGCTAGGTATAGAGGGAATTCCTCAAAGCTATCAGCAGAGTCACTTAGCTCGCTGGAGGCAGCTATATTCTCAGCCTGGGCCATTGGCTTGGGCTCCTGGTCCTGACCTGCCCTTTGCGAGCAGGTGCTGCTCTGCTGGGCTCCCGAGAGTGTCACGTGTCGGATGAACTGAGGGTCTGCTGAGGCAGGCTCTCCAATCCTGGCCTGAGAGCCCGCACCCTCATAAGGAACAAGGTTTTGGCTAGCAGGACCCTGCCTAGGCATGTGGGGATTGACAGCCCTTTCTGGGCTGGACAGAAGGCTACTTTTGGCCTTGAGCTCCTCTCTGGGGCAAGACTCTGGAGGAGGACAAGAGGGGCCTACCCTTTGCACCTCATCAGCCTGAAGGCTAATGATCTCACTTGTGTCCGACATGAAACTGGACCAAGGGCTAGTTTTATCTGTTATGGTGGTGATCTCATTGAGTGTCCTGGGCTCAATGATGTCTTCTTCATAGTCCTCATCGCTGTAGGCTGGGCCTGCCTCAGTGTCCTCACTGCTCTGCATGCTTGTAATGGGTACTGTGTGTTCCAGGGCCTCATGGAGCATTCGCCTTCCACTCGAAGTCTCTTCAAGAGTAGGGGGAGGTGGGGACTCTGTGCCCTCATCTGGAGCTTTTGCCAATGGCAGGTCTGGAGTTGTGCTTCGTTCTTCTTCCATCGCCTCTGTGTCCTGAGCATCTGGGAGAGCGGTAACGTCTCTGCTTCTACTCCTGGATCGGTGAGAACTCAGAGATGCTTGAGAATTCCTGGTGACAGTCTGCAGATCTGAACAGCAACAGATATCACTCTTACTACAAGGTAGGGCCACAGACCACTCAACTTCCCCACACTAGCCTCTAGCTTCAGAAGTATTCTTGCAATCAGACTTTGAACAAATCTTAAAGATAGTTAAATCCACCCAAGAGTCAGTGAAACTATATCCAAGGCAGTACAATTTCTAGCACTTTATTCTAATATCAGATCAAAATCTAATCTATTCATAGTTGTGGTTACATCTGTAGAAACGCTTTCAGAGACTATCTGCTCCTGCTCAGGAATTCTTGGGAGCTGGGAGTCCTGGCGGGCATGTTCATGCTTCCATTTACTTCAGTAATTACCTAGATTAAAAACCAAAATGAGAATCCACTTATTTACCTATTTGATGACTGCTATTAGAACTATCTATTTTACCTGGAAAGTAAAAGCAAGGAAATATCTATCACCCAGATGATAAGGCAGGGGAGGTTTACAGAGAAAATGGAGGCAGCATGGTGTATGGGAAAGAGCAGAGGCTTTGGGGCTGGTAAGTCTTTGGTTCAAATCTACCCATTTTGTGGTTGCCAGCAAACTATTCTCTCTGAGCCTGTTTATCTTTAAAACGTGATGAACACCAGCCTTTCCACGAGGTTTTGGTATAAAAAATACAAGAGCTAAATGGGCCTACACTGTGTGGCACATATATAGACACTTAATAAATGTAAGCTACTAGTCACCTCACATTGTTTTGGGGATAAAATGGGAGGGAATACATTAATAAATAGGCCCAGTACATGATATATGTTTCCATGATTACTGGAGAGGGGAAAGGAGTTGGGAGACAAAACTGACTCCCAGGGGGTTAAGTGTCACGTCTCCCTCACAGCACCTACCAGAGTGTTCAGTCTACAGGAGGTACTGGCTGAGTTTAATACATTACTTTTCAGGTCTCAAAGGAGAGCGAGTAGATGTGTGAAAATGGAACATCCCTGCCTGCAAACAGGAACAGGAACCAGGAAGCCGACTTAGCTGATCCTGGTCCTTGGGCCTGAACTTCCCTTCTGTTATGGAGCAGTCTTTCTGCTTTTTATAAACCAGCCCATCTTCGGGGCCTTGCTCTCCTGCATCTCCTCCAGGAAGCCCTTCCAGGTGCCCTAGCTAGATGAGATGAACTAATCAGCTTTGTTCTATATGGAAGCACTTAAGAACCTGCTATTGTGTAACTGTCTATATAATTCTCCCATCAGATTGTGAGCTTCCCAAAGGCAGAGACCATATATGTCTGATTCTTGTTGCAATTTCAGGTCCCAGCAAAGGAGCCGGCATGTGGATGTAGCATAAATGAAACCCCCATTCAGTAACTCACTCTCAAGCTTCACTCATATCTATTATCTAATGACTTCAAAAGCGTACTGAGACATGATGAAAGTAGGGGGAGTTTGTTTAAACTGGTTTCCCTGATCTAATCACTTCTCTCTTTCAAAATTCATCCTCTCCTTGTGAAAAACAGTTCTCATCCTGTTATTTCCTTGCTTAGAATTCCCCATTTTCTTCCAGGATAAAGATTAAACTCCCAAACTTGCCTTCAAGGCCCTCCAGCCTCAATCCTTCAATTCTTCTCGCTCTCCACATTTAATATATCCCTTTAAAGGGATTCCCTATTTGCTCTTACCTCTACCCTAAACAAGCCTCCCTCTGTTTTGCTCTTATGCTTTCTTTCTGGGGGACAGTTTCTTTGGTTGACTATAGAACGTATGCTTGATGAAAGCAGAGACAATGCCCGTCTTGTCCTTCACTGTATCTTCCTGGAACTAGAAACACAACAGTGTCTGGCACAGTTGGTGCTCAGTAAAAACCTGGCTGAATATTATTTCCAAGAAATAGAAGCCAAAATACAGAGTATACTTCTGGGGCTACCAAAAGGTTAAGTATCTGGGAAAAGAAGGTAGGAAAAAGGCTTATATCTAATATCAATCTTGGTGGCTTTTCCCTCCTTTAAACAGAAGAAAATGGAACTTATCCACCCCTGTGTACAATTTACACATTTTCCTTGAGCAAAAATGACACCGAATGAGAGCTAAAGGTGCTGATCTAATTGATTTCTCAGTATTCTCCAAAGCATGTAAGTAAGTTCCCAGGGTCTAACCCTGGATTCTGATTAAGTATGATGGGGCAGGACCCAGGAAAAGTTTATTTCAAAATAAGTACCTCAGGTGATTGCTAGACTCAGGCAAGTCTGAAAATACTTGTTCTAGAGAGATCTCTGTCTGAGCTGCACAGTGGAATTACCTGGGGAGTTATGAAAAATACTGATGCCTAGGTCCCACTCTCAGAGATCCTGATGCAACCGACCTATGGTGCAGCCTGGGCATCTGGATTTTTAAAAGCTCCCGCAGTAGTTCTAATATACAGCCACAGTGAGAACCACTGTTTTCAGGGTTTTTCAAAGGGTAGACAATGGATTACCAACATCTAGAAGCATCTGAGGTGCTTGCTAAAAACACAAGACTTGTGGGCTTTGAGAATTAGAATATGAGATATATCTGTAGTTGATTTTTTCTGAAAACAGAGTGGCACAAGTTCAAGAACTGCTACTGAAGAACTCATCTAATCCACCTCTCTCTCTTTTTTTTTTTGGTTGGGGAAACTTCAAGAAGGAAAAGGGTAAACTCAGAGTCAAATAGTAAGTCCATGCCAGAAATCCACCAACAACCCCACCCAGGTGTCCTGCCTCTCAGTCCAATGCTCTTCCCACTGCACATGCTCCTGTGTTCTGCTTCTGTGCCTCTCCTTTCGAAAGGAAGACGATACATGAATAAGAAAGATGATGAGCGCTGTTGGTCTCTGTTGGTCACAGGGACTTGTCTGAGGGAAGACATTCAAATGCTTTGGAATAGGCACTCAGTGACCATAACTCAACAAGAGGGGCCCTGAGCCATACCCTTGATTAAGGAGCCAACTTGCAACACCAGGTTGTTGGATTTCTCCAGGATGCACTGGCTGCCAGGGTCTAGGCTGCTAGCTCCCGGCCCATGATGGTCCCTATGGCTCTCCTGGCGCTGCAGGATGGTCTGAGTCTGAGGACTGAGAGGAGGCAGAGGCCTGGTGAGCTTCTGGCTGAAATACCGCTGGATCTGATCTAGCTCACTCAGATTCCTCCTGTAGAAAAAGAAGGGGAGAAGAGGACAAAGGGTCATTCAATGGGATTACAAGCTTCTTTTATGTTCTGCTGACATTCCACTGCTTGAGCTAGAACCTTAATACCTCTCACTTGGTCTATTAATACTAAGACCCCTCTCTCCAGCCCAATAATTCATCCTTCATTTCTCTGACTATAATCCCGCTGCTGGAGACAACTTTCTTCCCCTTCTGTATGGTTAATGTGATTCCTCTTCTGATGTCCAGCAAAAATCCTACCTTTTTGTAGAGAACCATTTTTGACCATCATTCCAGTCCTCATCCTCATGTCCTCTTACTCAGACAAAGGCGAACACTGACCTTTGCTACCTCATAACCATTCCGCTTGTTTAAGCAAGCGACCTCTGCTAGCAAGCTTCCCTGACTCTCTACATTGATTTAAGGGCCCCTCCACAGTTCTTTCTGTACTTTTCAATCACATCACATTACATATTTGTTGTGCATTTATTTCCCAATGAAGTATGAGCTGTGTGCTGATTCCTTTGCATCTGTTACATTCAGCATAGTGACTGGCACAAAATAAATGAACGCTGAACAGATAAATACACATGAATACATTACTTAAAAAAACAAAAAACAAAATTAGCTCAGGTGGTTAGAGTGCAGGCTCATAACACCAAGACTGCCAGTTCAAGTCCCACATGGGCCAAGGAGCTGTGCCCTCCACAACTAGACTGAAACAACTACTTGACTTGGAGCTGATGGATCCTGGAAAAACACACTGTTCCCCAATAAAATTTCTTAAAAACAACAACAACAAAAAAAACCACTTCTATTCAAAAACCTTTAATGGGGCCACATTCATTCTTTTTTTTTAAATATTTTTTTTTTATTGGGGAATTGGGGGGATGGGAACAGTGCTGGGGAATTGGGAAAAGGGGAACAGACAAGTTGCTGTCGTTTTGCTCTTCAGTCTAGTTGTGGAGGA